CAGCGCGGCGGCGCAGGATTATAATGCAAGCTAGACAACCGGTCCATCTACACACACACACACACACACACACACACACACACACACACAAAATGCACTGTGTGACGTCGCGCTCAGCTGCCAGCCAAGCGAAAGACCAACACGCCAACTGCATGACTCACACAGCCAATTAAGTCATGCCTTTCTTGTGGCCACCATCTAATTGGTCTAACCTTATACATACGCGTTCGCTTGCTTTAAGTTTTTTTGCACTGGGTTTCTCGAAGACTTCTGCTTTGCCCACATCTTGTCGTGTTCTTCCTTGGGGGCTCACACAAGGCGTAACGTAGACGGCTTTGGCCACATTTACAACACGGTTTGCCCAGAATATCTGGCCAAAGCCGTCTTTTTCCTCTTATCCTCCGGTCGACAAACTGTAATTTCCCGATTTCTCAAAGGAAACATTTTGAGATTAGAGGACTTTGAGGTGTTCAGCCTGACGCCAGTCACACACAGTTTGCTAGTCTGACCTTTCAAGTTCGTTGTTATTGCAAACTTAAAGAAATCTCCTAATACAAGACAGCAGTCCTGACCACGTATGATGCGAACACTAGTATAAGGTCTCCTCGTAGCTGGCTCTACGTCTAAGGACAAATATTGAGATAAGCAATGGGTAGTATTTAGGTTATTGTGGTTTGTACTCCTCAAATTCAACAAACGTGGCTTTGTCCAGTACATCCAATTGTTGACGACGTATTCATTACGCTTTTATTACAAGAAAAATATTCGGTGACTATTATTCCTCTTTACCTTCCTCTCATTCAGGATCTGAAAAGTGTAAGCCCCATTCTTTTCTGAATTCATGTTGAATAACTAGAAATTATGGTTTTGTTTTTAAAATAGACATGTAGCGTTTGACTATTTCAAATTACAATTTTTTCGTAACTTCAGTGGCCCAACCAGATGGTAAGCAAGCACTTAATCTTTGTTTTAAGTTGAGGATACTTATTTTCCCCAGCCCCTCTGACTGTTCTAAAATGTGTATTTCCTTCCAAAAAACAGGAAGAAGCCGTTAAGGTATGTGAAAGACATCGATTATCAACTTTTGAGCAAGTGCCAACCTAATCCCAGCTAAGCAGACAACGGCTTACTTGCGAAACCTTCCCTGCATGATTTTTCATGATTGTGAATTTAACACGCCTACTGACCTTTTGACAGTAGTACGCATTCTAAACTTTGCAAAAGGCAGCACAACTACCAATAATTTAACAGGTGCTTTACAAAGTAGGCTGCAAAGGTTTTTATATGTTTTCTTTACGATTCTGGCTACCGAATCGGAAAGTATGGTGAAGTGGAATTGCCGAAAATCCGTCCACTCCGCACTAGATGATTTGGCATGCCAATTTTTTCCACAAATCCCGTTGTCCCTAGGAGTTCAACCTAGGGCACTTTGGATGCAGTCGCATAACTACTTACTGAAATGGAATCGACAAGGACGCGGCAGGCCGGAATGGCCATTTCTGCCTGAAGCTGTCATCAGTAAATCGCGGGTTCGAAGTTCGGGGATCGACACCCCTGGGGTTGGGTTTTGCTTTCCCTGCTTGCCTTCTGGCTGGTTTACCGTTTCTAGAAGCTCCTCGTGAGAGTAGGGCTTTGCTACTGGGTGAGAATACCACGATAAAAGTAGGGTAAAATAGGACTGTGGCACATCCGTCACAACCCCGCGCAAGTTGAATTGGTATGCTAAACTTCCATAAGCCTGATGATAGTAGTAAGTAACATGCTCGTGACGTTGTGCCTCAGATCTCGATCCAGGGCCCTTAAGAAGCCATCGCACAACGTTTTGAACTGCATGATAAAGTGGAACCGACAGCAGGCTCAAATGGCCATTTCTGCCTTAGAAGCCATCATCAGCTAGTCACTGGTTAGGATACCGGGGATCGCCAACTCTGCTGTTGGGTCTGGTTGACTGATGACGGCTTATAAGCCCGAAATGGCCATTCCGCCCTCTCGCGTGTTTTCCGGCTCCATTGCCGAACATGCTACCTCATTCCTCCTGCCACCTTTGGTTGCATGTGTGGACCTGCTCATGAAACCAGGAGTAAGGCAATGCAATCGTCTGCTAGCTAGGAAACCTTCTTGTCATTATGCGAGGCCTTGAGTCGCATCTTGACTTTCAAAAAGTAGCTTTCTAATTCGCTCAATCTATTCATCGAAAGTGGTGCAGCGACGAGCTCTCCTGGTCATGCACTATTTCTGGCTGAATGAACGCACAAATGACAGCTGAATGGCCTCAAGTTATACCGAGCGGCGAGCGTTCCTAACTTGGCATAGAACGTAAAAAGCAGAGGAAAAAGTCTTCGTTTTACCTTGCCATTTGTTATGCAGGCAAACTTTAGTAAATGTACCTTTGTAGACAAACACATTTCCTTACAATAACTTTTTAAAATCATTTCTCTAGGATGTGATGGTAAGTGCAGTGTGTTGCATAAGAATGTTAATCTGTGATATTGAAAATTCAGCTTAAATATCAGGATAAACCAGTTATTTATTTATTGAGTTTTTTGAAACCTAAAGTTGCATTTGCAAATAAATGACTGCCACCTTCTGTAGGAGTCTAGGCCGTGAGTGTACTCCGATCACTACAATGATCACGCTCAGGTCCGTTTAGAAAGTAAAGGGATAAGGAGGAGTTTCTTATTGTATA